ACCCTAGTGTTGAGGTTTCGTAAATTTGCGTTTGTCCAAAATCCCATTAGGCCATGCACGCAATTTTTTAAAACCTCGCTTTTTCGCGATTTTCATAGTTTTTTCTTGGGTCGTTTCCGCGTCATCTTTGTTCATTTTAACCCCAAAAATCGATTTTTGGAGCATTTTTGCCTATTTTAGGCTAATTACGGGATCCCACTTCGCATTTTAGGATTTTTTTGAACTTTTTCATTATTTTTATGGGAATCTGCATACATTTTTGTTTAAAATAAAGCAATGAAAATTCAAAAGTGGGAATTTTTCAGCTCAAAATCACTTGCTCATCTCCATGGTCCGAAGCTGCGGAGATCGACGTCGTTATTGGAATCTGGAGTTCTGGAAAGTTTGTCCCGGTCTTCTCCTCGCCCTCCTGCTTCTCTCCTGCCCACATTCGAGTCAGAATTCATCCGCATTCTCGTTGATCTGTCTATATTTGTATACCTAAATTAATTTTTTCCTTTAAAAAATCTAAAATTTTAAGCTTCTCTAGAAGTTAAAAACTGTTAATTGTTTCATAAAAATCATCAGAGAGATCATGGAAAATAAGTGAGATAGATATGCAAAATTATAGCGGTGTGGACTCGTGTTTGTTGCGAATGACGATTCCCATCTGCTTACAAGCCTCCAGTGTCGCACGGGCCGATGATGTCTCCAGAAGTTGGACGCAGTCTAGTTGTGCGTGGCACGTGGAATTCTGGAAATTTCGAGATTTGTGAATCAAATTTCTGGGGGATTCCATCAAAATTTGTAGAAACTATGAAAAAATTGGCTACATTTTCGAAAAATCGCTTTAATAAACAAAAAATTAAAGAATGTAGGTTTTCTACAGTAATCTACAGTAATCTTTCGGCAAGGACATCATCCCATCGAATTTCAGATTTAAAAAAAATCGGAAAAATCGAAGAAGAATCGCCAAAAATAGCTGAAAAACCTAAAAAGGTCTAAAAATTTTGCGAAATATTCGCCTAAAAATCTCAAATTTTTATCGATATTGCTAACTACAGTAATCTATTTCTATTCGAAATTCCCTTAATTTTAAGCAAAAAAACATTGAAAACGGTCGAGAATGAGCGAAAAAACAAAAAAAAGGCGAAAAATCTATCATTTACTGAGGCTTATCAAAAATTGTAGTTTGTAGTGTAAGCGTCAGTAAAACTCATAGCGATTTACGAACTACAAACTCTTCTAAGCCTCACAAGGGAAGTGTTTTCAGAGAGGCGTTGAGAATTTGCTCAAAATTTCAGTACTGATAGTTTGAGATATCCGCAACACGATGACGAAAAAATCTAGGTCATAACCCCACCAGGAAGCTGAGAAACTTCGTCTGAAAATTCTGCCCGATTTGGGCGCGCACTTTCCCCCCTCTCCTATACGCCCTCCGCGCCAGAGGAAAATGTCGGTTGTGTGGTGTAGCGGTAACAGGGTAACTCATTAGGTGAGACTTCACTGGTTCGAACCCCACTGTGGTTAACATTTTTTTTGGTTTTTTTTCATACTTTTTTTTCAATATTTCGAAGATATAGAGGTACTGAATTTATCAAAATTTTATTAAATAAATCAAAATCAATCAACAGTTGTGATGGTCAATGACAAAATGTTCGAAACAGAATAATTTTTCACAATAGAGACACTTCACAAACGATGTGCTGGAGCAACCATGCATTGTACAATCTCCAGCGACACCTCGTGGAAATATTTGGTTTTCCAGGAAGATGAACAACATCGGGATACATTTGGATTTTGTGGCATTCATCGTCCTCTGGAGTCCAACCTAACCGTAACATATGTATATGTAATGATTCACTGAACTGAAACTTACTCAAATCCTGTAGATCGTCTTCAAAATTTGAAAGGTGCTGTTCCATTTCAATATCAAAGTCTCCCTTATCGATCGATTCATCGAGGTCAATCAAATAAGCCGCGAGCTTGAGATCCTCTTCATCCAATGGCTGACGCTTAGGATTGACTCCCAGATCCAGAATGTATGTCAAAATGCGACGAAACTTCGACATCAGCAAGACGAATAATAGCTATAAATACGAAGAAAAAAAAATAAAAAACAGGAACAAATGAAAAAAAATCGCCTTTTATAGCAATTTTCTGCTGCTTCCAGAACTTTCTGCGAGTTGAAATGCTCTACTGATAACTTCTGATTGTTAGAAAAACATGAAAAAAACCAAAAAAAATGTTAACCACAGTGGGGTTCGAACCAGTGGAGTCTCACCTAATGAGTTACCCTGTTACCGCTACACCACACAACCGACATTTTCCTCTGGCGCGGAGGGCGTATAGGAGAGGGGGGAAAGTGCGCGCCCAAATCGGGCAGAATTTTCAGACGAAGTTTCTCAGCTTCCTGGTGGGGTTATGACCTAGATTTTTTCGTCATCGTGTTGCGGATATCTCAAACTATCAGTACTGAAATTTTGAGCAAATTCTCAACGCCTCTGAAAACACTTCCCTTGTCAGTAAAACTGCATGTGTCGTCAGCCTGTTTACTAAGGCTTAGTAACTACAAACTACAAAACTTCCTAAGCCTCAGTAAAGTGAGCACGCGAATTTTACTGAGGCTAAGAGGCTACAAACTACAAAACTTTCTAAGCGTCAGTAAAATTTGAAATCGCTGTAACTCGGCTAGTTTTCAACCATTTCGAATCGTTCTTGGCTAGAATTGTGTTAAATTCGCAGCTGTTGGTTCAGAGACTACAAACTACAAAATCGCCTAAGTCTCAGTAAAACTTCAAATCGCGCTATCTCGGCTCATTTTCAACCGTTTTTTATGGTTTTTGGCTCAAAATTGACGGATTTTCAGACATTTTGATGCCAAAAAATTTTCAGACATTTTGATGTCAATTTTTTTGCCACAAAATCGAACCTGCGACAAAAAAGCCATCGCCGAGGTCCTCAATTTCGCATCCCGCCGATCATAAATGTCCTGTACAAGCGACTTCACCGCCTCCACTTCGAATATATCATCAGTGGCGTCTCGTACCAACATATGGGTGATTTCAAAGAAATGATCTGGCAGAGAAGCCAATCCCTGATTCTCTGTCTCTGACGTCAGGATCTTCTTCAATTCGTCCACTTCCATCCATTTCGGTGCCACGAGTTTGCAATTATGCTTTCGTTTCATCAGAATCGCTATCCAAATCGGCAGCTTGCATGGAACACCGGCCTCAAATGGTCCAATATCGCCGGAAATCAAGAAAATCGTACTGTCTGAAATCGATGGGATCACTTCGATCAGCGAGTTGCCGGCCAGGAATTCGCAACGCTCCGCGTTCATATTTTCTGAAATTAAAATAGCTGAAAATTCGAGAGAAAGGCTATAAAACAAGAGTAAAAATGTCGAAAATTCAGAAATTTGAAATAAAATTTTAAAAAAAAACGATTTTCAGACAAAAAATGATGTGAAAAATTCCAATTTTTGAGAGCAAATCGGTCGAGTTAAAGCCATTTTCAGATAGAAAATTAGATTTTTAATCACTTTTTATCTGAAAATGGCTCAAATTCAACCGATTTTTTCTTGAAAATCAGGAAATTTTGAATTTTGAACCCAAATTTTCAAATTGTGAGCAATTTTTTGGGTGTTCTTTTATCAAAAAAGATTTTTTTTTTCAAATTTTCAGCCAAAAAAGCTCAAAGCTTCAAGATTTTAATGTGAAATTCGGTTGAATTTAAAGGAGGCCAGACACCAAAAAAAAGTTTTCCTGATATTTTGCATAGAGAACCCCCATGAGGGGTTGAACTCATGACAGGTAGCTCAGGGGTACAGCGCCGCTACCGGCTGAGCTACGGGGGCGCGAAGACGCCTGACGACCGATGGTCTACATAAGCGCGGCGCGATTTCGTCCCCCGAACTGTCCACCGAAATTTTTGCTGTCTCGCCTCCTTTAAGGAATTTTCAGACAAAAATTATAAAAATCTAATTTTTTATAGGAAAATTGCTGAAATTCGACCGATTTTTACTCAAAAATCTGGTAATTTTGAGCTTTTTTTTGCTGAAAATTCCAAGAAAAATCATGAAAAAAAACCATGTTCGATATAAGAACACCCAAAAATAATTGCTCAAAATTCGAAATTTTGGGTTCAAATGCAAAAATTTTCAGCCAATTTTTCTGCTCAAAATTTCCAGATTTTAAGGTAAAGATCGGTTGAGTTTAAACCATTTTCAGATAAAAAAGTGATTGAAAATCTAAGGCTTAAAATCGACCGGTTTTTTCTTTAAAATCTGGGAATTTTGAGCAGAAAAAAAAGCAAAATTGGAATTTTTAACATCATTTTCTGGCTAAAATTTTCGATTTTTTAGCATTTTTTGGTTTTTGACTGCAAATTTGAACAAATCATGGAAAATAACCATTTTTAAGCTTAAAAATGACGATTTTCGAGGAAAAAGAGCTGTAAAAATAGGTAAAAATTGCGAAACTACACTTTTTCGATATCAAAAGGATTAGGAGAAACAAAGTAAAGCGTTTCATGTGTCGTTTGTTGTCGAAAGAAGAAGAAGTCTATTCTACTTTGAACCCTAAAAAATTAGCAAAAAATGCAGGATCGGGGACTAGAGGCAGTGAGGGGCAAGCAGAGGAAAAAGAGAAAACAAATGTGAATTTTTTCAAAAAATTACAGAAAAAACAAAAAAAAATTAGAATTATTCAGCGATTTCCTCCTCCACCGAGACTTGAATCAATCCTGTGTGAATAGCGAATGCCACAGACAACACCAACGCTCCAATCGTGAACAGAATGGCGTCTCGCATCGGTGGCTCATCTGGAATCGCCTCAGCTGCCTCCTCGGTAGTCTTCGCTGCTTCTTTATCAGCTTTAGCCTTGGAAATTCGAGATTGCCACATTTTCCGATTCGATTGCTGGCGCTTTAGCTCATCCTCACTGAGTGGCAGGTAGATTGAGGAGACGGTCTCCACAAAGCGCACCTAAAAAGCAATTTTGGGGTTTTAAAGGTTATTTTTGTATTAATATGTATGTAGATTCACATTAATATAGTGACAAATTCAAAAAAAATTCCTAAAATGCAAAAAACCGCATCGAAAAGGGCAAAACTAGGCTAAAAATGGTCCAAAAATCAATTTTTTGGGGTTAAATCGAACTAAAATGACGCCGAAACGACCCAAAACCTAGGAAAAAACGATGAAAATCGCGAAAAAACGAGGTTTTAGAAAAATTGCGCGGATGGCCTAGTGGATTTTTGGACACTAGGAATCTCAACACCAGGGTTCGATTCCACTAGACGTCAAACGCTTTTTGCTTTTGTGCTTAGCATGTTTTAGTGGTTCTCGAAGCTTCAGATTTTTCTGAAATTCTGAAATTTCGAAAAACAATGAAAATCGCGCGAAATTCCAACTTTTATTGTTTTTTGGAATTTCAGAAATCCAGAAAAATCTGAAAATGACATTTATAAGCGTCTTGAACCCCTAGAACATGCTCAGTACAAGAGCAAAAAGCGTTTGGCGTTGAGTAGAATCGAACCCTGGTGTTGAGATTCGTAACTTTCCAAAAACCCACTAGGCCATGCACACAATTTTTTGGAAACCTTGTTTTTTCGCGATTTTCATCGGTTTTTCTAAGTTTTGGGGGGGGGGGGCGCTTCGGCGTCATTGTAGTTCATTTTAACCCCCCAAAAAAATTCTTGGACAGTTTTAATCATATTTTTGCGGCTCCGCCGCCAAGGAAACTGTGAAAATAGTGATATAATTTTAGGCAAAATTTTCAATTTGATTTATTATGCTTGTCTGAGAAAAAAAAGGTTAGAGAGTAAGTTTTCTTGCGAAAAACTATCTAAAGTTCCAGAAATCCAACTATATCCCCTTTGCAATTTGAAAATCCGCGCAAAATTCACTGCAGCTGGCCT